AATTGAGATATCCAAAGTAAAGCAATCACAGTTAAAAATGGTGAGCTCGCAAGGCAGGATGAGCATTTGAGATACTGTTTCGCCGGTTTCTCTCGTTTCTTTAGTTCTGCCACTGTTTCATTGTCCAGTTGCTTGCATGCCTACACATTTTACGGTATTTTTAGCAAAAAACAATACTTTATGTCAAAAAGCACTTACCTCACAGAGCTCTGAGCATTTAGGGCAGACAATGGTGCCCCTGTGAAGCCAATTGCCGAAGAAAAGTTGAATTTTGATTTCATGGTTCTCGTGCAGGCAAGTGAACGTCTGATTGTTGATCAGCACATGAACCAACCCGTCAAAGCAGCGGTATTGATAACAGCCTGAACCCCAGTGTTGCCATTGTCGAATCTGCGTAGGTAGAGTGTAACTCAAGACAAATCAAGTTTGTATCTGTGCGTAACGTACCTCATAACAGTTTCTCTCCTCCCACATTTCCTCGTTATGATTAAAACACTTTGAGTTGGGACCGTATTGTTCAAGAGCAAAATTTTTCTCTGGTTGTGGGTTGTTTTCAGTAAAGGAGCACTTGGAGCCTCTCACAACTTCTTCGTTCAGTTTCCACGTAAACTCTTGAATATAAGGACAATAGTCGGCCAGTGCCACAGAGCCGCCGTACAATGGCAGTGATTCGTTTTTGACGTTGGGAATGTAGTCAAAGTTTTGGAAAAGTTGTTCAACTTTTTGTTCGTATTCTCGAAGATTGCACAGTGCCACTGAATCACGATTATCGGTACATTCAGTTTGCAGTGGGTCCTTCTTCACTTTGTCGCAGAATGGGTGAATACTCTCACCGCGAGAACGTTTCAAGTCCATCCAGTCCTTACAGCTTCTCATTGCAAAATCACAACCCAGGTTCTTGCCCCACTCCAAAGGCTGGGCAAGTGAGTAGTTGGCCTTGTACCAGCTAGTGGTAAGCAAACACATCTAGTTAACAAAATTTTTTTCCTTTTTAATAAAAATTACCCAGTATCCTCCATCAGTGCTAAAGTGATTCGCGAATACACGGGGTTTTGAGTGTGTGTACCGGTCATTGCTTCATTCTATTTAGAAAAAGCATTGTTAGAGAAGTGAGGAAAACTTAAATCTGTCAAATTTACCTCAAACAGTCTTTTCTCCCAATGAGTCAACGCAGTGCCATCCTCGCCTTGGTTTTCTAGTTCTGCCCCTTCAAGAAGTGAACAGTTAAAATGGTCCCGAACTTCATTCTGAAAATAAAAGTAACTTAGATTGCTAAGTGAATTAGTATTTCTATTGGTAAACTTACAATGACATTGGGGGTGGAAATGACAAAAACAGCATGGTCAATTGCTCCACCCCGGACTTTCCATTTTGGTCGAATCACTTTACGTAATATTTTTCTACTGATTCGATGTATTGAAGATCCATCGCTTGTAAAACTTGGACTCTGAGAGGAGTTTACAAGCTTGCTCATAGAACCGCTGAAAGCGTTTCCATTCTTATCACGATAAAATGCGTACAGAGAAACAGAAAACCCGAGAGCATGTAAAATCTCATGTTTAAAAGTTGATATCAAAGTTTCGAGATCTTGTGGCTTTGTCGAAATGGAATTGGGACAAATATTTGCATGGCCGGCAATTGGACTGAAAAAATAATGCAGTTTTGTTATCCTTGTGTATCTAAAGACACAGGCAAATCTCACCGGTTAAAAGCAGTCTCTTGTTGACAGTGAGCAGCATAGGCAATGGTGTTACCTTTGCTGCATCGGTCCGTTTGCATGGTGGAAATGTAAAAAACAAAATCCGCATCTGGAATACCTCGTTCTGGAAACTGAGGAGGCATCACCTTGCAGTCTTCCCCGTTGCTTTTGCAAACTCGACATTCCTAAACAAAGTCAAATGATAAATGAATTTTTGAAAATTGATGAAACGCATTGTACCTGCAAGTGACTCTCTGGAATGACTACTTCGCCACAAAGAGTGTAGGCTTCACAATCATTGATGCAGTACTGATGATTGTAACTAAATTCAGGATATAGTGAATGATCGTTGAGGCATTTTCTGGTGATTAAAAGTTTCCAATTTTCAGCATTGAGCGTAATGAAATTACTAACAAGGTTACCTGTTTAATTTGATAGGCACTCCAAAAGGCTTCACTGATAAAGCTTGTTGCCAGTAAGTGATTGCCTCAGGTAATACTGTATTCTGATTTAAAAGAAGCATAAATCGTGTATATATTAATTAATTTCTGATACCAGAACATGTAAAACTTACATTGATGATTTGAAATTTTTCAATCGTAATTTTTTGAACACTATCATCGTAGAAGTATTTGATGCGCAAGTTCTCTATTGCTTCTCTTTTACGGATAACATGATCATGCTCGACAAAAGTGTGCCGAATCTAAAGAGGGCATTTTTAGAACTATTGAAGAAATAATGCACTTGCTATAAGAAAAAAATACCTGATCTAAAGAAGGTGGAATGTGTCCGCACTTATGTGCTAGACAAACCGAAGCAAAGAAAAGGACGAGGTAGAGAGACGTGGAACACATCTTTCATAAAAAATCTCGTTCTCTTCTTTCGGATGGACTATTACATTGTTTCAATTACAATAAAGCCATCAAGAAGAAATTCAGGCAACTTAATATCTTAACAGAACTTTAAACTTAAACACAACCATTGAAAAAAGTGCCAAACTTGGCATAAACTGAAAACAACAACAACTCGCCGACCACCATCACCATCTGGCAGAATTTTGGAGAACTTTGCAAGTTTAAACAAAAGTTGAAGAACGCATTTCAGTACAAAAATGAATAAAACTTTTTACTTCAAAAGTCTAGAAACAAACAAATATTGCAGCAAACAGATGATAACAATAATTTTAAGAATACAAATATAAAATAAGTTCAAAAAGAAGCATCACAATAGCTCGGCAAAAAAGCTGGAAAGTATTATTTTTTACGTTGCTGTTGTCGCATAACGGTTGCCATTTCTTCGGCCGAAGGAACACCAACTGCACTACTGATGTTTTCCACTGTGTAGAGAAATTAAGTTTTAGAATGACAAAAAAATATATGGGTGAATTTAAAATGAACTTACCAACAGCATCGAGAATATTAGTGGGATTGAAAGACCACCGGTTCACAGCGTGAGTCACAGTAGTGAGAGCAGCAGTTCGAGTTGCAGATCGAAAGTCAGAAAACCAAGATGCACCTGAAGCCTCACCAGTTTGTTGCTGGCTAAGTGTAGGCTTGTACTGATTTTGCATGACAGACTGTTGATCGTTCATGATCTGCGAATCACTGGTTGATGACGATGAGGGAGTCGGTTTCAGCTGCTGATTTGATATGAAATGATCATCACTGATGCTTTTTGAAGCTCGCGGAAAAGTGGTAGAAGGCGAAGGTTTAGGGTGCTTTTGAACTTTGGGTTTAGGCTTAACCTCCCAATCAGCACTCCAGTCAGAGTCAATGGACAGGTCAGTTTGAGCAGAGCTGCGTCTGTCACTTAGGGTTAAAGGCTCAAAATCGTCCCAGTCATTGCCCCAGTCATCATTGGCCCATTCATTTTTGCTTTTAACAGGAGCTTTCAATTGAGTGCTGGTACTGCTGCTGAACAGTTTAGCAGTAGAAGTAACTTTAGATTTAGTTTTCTTCACTAAAATTGGTTTATCCTCCTTAGCTTTCACTTCTTTCAGTTCACTCGTTTGAAGTTTTGGTTGAGCGCTGACATTATTAGTTGACAAGTTATTAGAGGTATTTAGCTTAGAAAGCATTTGCTTAGAATCGACAGTAGGTTCGCTCTTGCCAAGTGCGGAGACATTCGGTTTTGAATCCNTGACAAGTTATTAGAGGTATTTAGCTTAGAAAGCATTTGCTTAGAATCGACAGTAGGTTCGCTCTTGCCAAGTGCGGAGACATTCGGTTTTGAATCCTCATCATAATTACCCCAGTCATCGTTCCAGTCATCGTTGTTCAATAACTGATTGTCAGATTGTGTTTCAGCTTTTTTTTCTGCTTCGGGCTTTGGTTGAGAACGCACATCATCTTTGATCAATTGAGAAGATGGATCAGATTTTGACCCAAAGAATCCAGTGGAAGGCTTATCAGCTGATGAAATAATTTGGACTGGAACACTTGATTTTGTGTCATCTTCATTTCCCCAGTTATCGTCCCATTGGTTGTCAGATTTTGTTTCAACATCTTTCTTTTCTGCTTCGGGCTTTGGTTGAAAATGCACATCATCTTCAATAAATTGAGAAGATGCATCAGACTTAGACTCAAAGAGATTAGAAGACTTTTCTGTCAGAATAACAATTTGATCTGAAACATTTGACTTTGTGTCATCTTCATTTCCCCAGTCATCGTCCCATTGATTGTCAGACTTTGTTCCTATAGCTTTACTTTCAACATCTGGTTTTGGCTGAGAATGCACATCATTTTTGATCAATTGAGAAGATGGATCAGATTTTGACCCGAAAAATCCAGTGGAAGGCTTATCAGCTGATGGAATAATTTGGACTGGAACACTTGACTTTGTGTCATCTTCATTTCCCCAGTCATCGTCCCATTGATTTTCAGATTTTGTTTCAACATCGTTACTTTCTGCTTCGGGCTTTGGCTGAGAATGCTCAT